ACCTAAATTCCCATCAATAATAGACTGGATAAAGAAAAGGTGATACATATACACCATGGAACACTAGGCAGCTATAAAAAAGAATGGGATCATGTCCTTTGCAGGAAAACATGGATGGAGCAAGGGGCCATTATCCTTAGCAAACTAATGCGGGAACAGAAAACCACATACTGCATGTTCTCACTTGTAAGTGGGAGCTAAATGATGAGAACACATGGATGCATAGAGAGGAGCAACACACCCTAGGGCCTATCAGAGGGTGGAGGGTATAGGGTGGAAGAAGGGAGAGGATTAGGAGAAATAATGGGTACTAGGCTTAATACCTGAGTGATAAAATAATCTGTACAACAAACCCCTATGATACAAATTTACCCATACAACAAACCTGCACGTGTACCCCGAGCTTAAAAGTTAAAAAATAAGAAAAAGAAAAAGAAAATGCATCAGAAAAAGCAAGAAAAAATTAAAATATCAATTACCACCTGACCTTTCAATGCTGAAATTAGACACTATTACTCACCAGAAATTAATCTCATGAGGGAATAATGTAAACGTACGAGTGGTCTCAAGCTCTTCTGTGTGCACACCCACTTCCTCCACCAAACAAAATCTGTAAGAATAATTCTGGCCTTCAGCCATTGCCCATTTCCCCTTTTCTCTCTACTCCTTTTAACACCTAGCAGTACTATGGGTAATTAAGGGAATCAGCTGGAAAAGGCCTGAAGGAACCAAATGGCAACTTTTATTGAAAAGGGCAAAGACTTCCTTGTTTAAGAGGTGGGAGGGGAATAAAAGGATAGAGTCAAAAGTGAAGAATGTGAATGGAAGGTTGAAGAAAGGAAAGAAAAAAATGACAAGCCTACATGTCTGATTGTCAGCGAAAGTTTCTGTAGGTTATTAAGGGAGCAAAGAGAGGATTCAAAGTTTTCATAAGAGGGTCATACCAGGAATGAGGAGAGCTTTCCAAAAGAGTTGTGAATGATAAATTTTGGAAATTCTTTAAAGTTCTATAAGAGATACCAGTAAAGATTGGAGTTATTTTAAATACTGTATGTGGCCAGGTGCGGTGGCTCATGCTTACAATCCCAGAACTTTTGAGAGACCAAGGCAGGCAGATCGCTTGAGTCCTGGAGTTTGAGACCAGCCTGGGCAACATAGCAAGACCCCATGACTACAAACATTTTAAAAAATTAACCAGGAACAGTAGTGTGCACCTGTAATCCCAGCTACTCAGGAGGCTGAGGTGAGAGGATCACTCAAACTAAGAAGTTTGAGGCAGGCTGCTGTAGTCAGCTCTGATCATGCACTGCACTCCAACCTGAGTGACAGAGTTAGATCCTACCTCTGAAAAAAACAAAACAAAACAAAACAAAAAAAACAAAAGAAAAGAAAAGAAAGAGAAAAGGTACAAGCTCAGGGCAAAATATTAAATGAAGATATATAACTATAGAAGATAACTGATTTCTCATTGTACTGTACAAGCTTACAAGGTAGTACACATCCACATCCATTTATTTTTTCCAAAGATATTGAATTTCAATGTATTCATTCATTTCCTCCCCCTAAGTTCCTCTCCTGATTTCCTTGGTATCTGAATGTACATTTGGAGACCAAAAAACAAAGTAATCATGACAGTGCTGAATAAAGTAAGGAAAAGAGCCACTAACATTTTCTGGAATTGAAGAAAGATGGGGAAAATTAGAGCTAAACCTGAATGCAAAGCAGATATTTACTATAGTTTGAGAAGGACATCATGATAGACACTGAAACGAAGGAAAGCACAGCATAAAATAATGGTCAGAGTATTAGGGTTATCAAACTGATTAAATGTCCCCTGTCAAGGTACATGCAAAGACATTTTCAGTAATTCTGCTTCTAGTGAAAGAGTTAATATATCATACTTGTTACAGAAACCTTAATTCAATGCATAACCAACTAAGCATCAAGTCATATTAACTGGCTAAACATTTAAATTATGGAAGGCAAATAGCTGCAAAAGGGAGGAACTGAGAACCACAAAAAATCTGCCATTGCTTTTCTGTTTGTTTGAACCACCTACTCAAGTGCTTTATTCAAATTAAAAATGGGATGCACAGAAACAGCTCCTAAGTCTTTCAAAAAATGCCTTCTTTCTTCACCTGCCTCTTTCCTAAAAGCAGCACCCACAAGAATGCACCATTATCTTACCCAAGACAAACTTCAATTTAGAGTCTTAGGAGAAGGCCGTCGGCAAATATTAGTCTCTAGGGTTTCCTGAGCAGAGTACTAGGCATATTGTAGGCATTCATTAAATGCTTATTGAATAAGTGAGTTACCAAATGAGAAAACATTTTTTACCCCACTGCTGCAATTGTGGATATGGATATGTGACATTACGAACAGCACTAGGCTTGGGAGAGCAACACCAAGGAAATCAGAAACTGTCCCCACACAAAATACTCCTCTTATCTCTTGCAGATCGCAGCTGCTCCCTTAGGGTGGCTTGAGTCTTACAGGGCTGATGCTCTCTCCAGAGGTTTTATGAGGAAGAGGGAAATAATGCCTCATTAAGGGGATACATCAGGGGATTTGGGAGAAAGGAGGGTGTGGCAGGCAGAAGTAATGCCCCATCACAAACATCCATTTCTTAATGCCTGGAACCTACAAATATGTTATGTCAATGGAAAGGAAGATTTTAGGTTGCAGATGGATTAAAATTATGAGTCAGCTGAACCTGAGATGGGGTAAGTATTCTGGATCACACAGGTGGGCCCAATGTCACCACAAGAGTGAGGTAGAAGAAAAGGTCAGAGTGGAAGAAGGATTCGACCTGCTGTTGCTGGCTTTGAAGATCGGAGGGGTCTCAAGCTGAGGAATGTGGGCAGCTTCTAGAAGATGACAAAGGCAAGAAAATGGATTATCTCCTAGGGCCTCTAGAAAGGAATGCAGCCCTGGCCACACCTGGATTTTATTCCAGTGAGACCCATTTTCGACTCTTACCTCCAGGAGTGTAAGAAAATAAATTTGTGTTGTTTCCCACTACCAAGTTTTTGAGAATTTGTTACAACAACAACAGGAAATATAAGGTGGGTGAAGAGGATGGAAGGACTTGAGAGGCTGGTAGACTGGTTTCGTCATTATTACCTGTGGGGATTTAAGGAAGTTATTTCATCTCTGTGAGGCTTCGTGTGCTCATCACTATAGTTTTCTAAAACTAACAAACTCATAAAACTGCTTTTAAAAAATATATATTTAAAATAATCTATTTAGGGTTTATCTTTACCAGTAGATACATTTTTAATTTGATTTTTTTCTATTTTTAAATTGACTTCACTTGTTTCTTTTTCAGAACAGTTTTAGGTTCATAGCAAAACTGAGAGGAAGGTATAGAGATTTCTACTATGTCCCCTACCCTCCCACATTTCTACCATAAATGAATGTTATGTTCTGTAAAATGATCCTCAAGGTACTATGAGAAGTATATGAATAGTGGAACATGCAAACTTCTAAGTCTGCATGATAACTTACTCCTTTTCAGGTTTTGCAGCCAATGTAGACTTCATGACTTCAGAGTTGTAAATATATTGAGACAATTTCAACATCCAAATCGTAACAAAATCATTGCTAGGGTTTGGAGGTACATTGTGTTCAAAGATTTTTATTAAATTTTGCGATATTGCACAACTTTGATTAGGCCATTTTGTGGTTAGGACAAATCTATTTTTATTAACACATCAAATATTAAGAAATAAGTAGATTTTTAAACCCACTTTTTCAGTTTATTAATAAATTACGAGAAAGGCATGAGAGGAAACCTCATAAATGAATGTTTCTTTTAAAGGAGTATTTATAAATCACAAAGTGACTTGATGTGTGATATATCTAGCTTCAAAATATATCAACAAGATTATTTCCCTGTTTTCTTATTTAAGCTAACTTAAAATTGAGTTCAATATCACTTACAGAGAATAGTTATTTAGATTTTTCAATGCTTTTAAAAGGAAAAAGTAAAGTCTTCTAAAGTGACCATGACGTGCTTAAGTAAATATTTTCCCCAAAGGTTCACTGTATAATTTAACTTGAGAAGATAAGAGTAAAACATAGGCCTGCTGCAATATTTTAGGAAGTAATTTACTATTTCCTCTGATTTTGGAAAGCCCTTTAAAATATACAAAACCAACTGCAATTTCCCACAACACCACTTTTTCTAAAGGCTTCACAGCTTGGATAACCAATAGGGATGGTAAATCAGTTCGTCAACAAGCTCAGAAATCCCAGGAAAAAAATGGAAAACTCACTGCTTTTTCTCCTGTATCTGCCCTTTGCTTCATTGTCCCCTAAATGACTTCACTACTGAGTTTATGGATCAAAAGACTTTTTCTACGAATACTCACTTCCATTGAAATATGCAGAAATTTTCAGAAAAAGTCAACATTTACTTAGTATAAGGAGCTTTAAATTTGAACTAGTAGAGTGATCGGCAGGTTTAATCTAACCCTGAAAAACAGCTCAACTAGCTCTCCTATGCAGGTACTTATGTCTCTCCCACAGAGAGCTCAGCTGGCAGCAGTCAAAACCAAAGTGGAAACTTAATAAAAATGAAAATTGTGGTAGCAAAATACACTTACAAGGTTAATTTGACATATTGCAAAATTTTGGGAAGTTATAGTGGTTTCTAAGTATCCACAGTACTGATCTAGAAGAAGCCCAAAGAAACAGCTGCATTTGGGGATATAAGCTGCCTTGTCTGAAGAGAAGACCTTAGAATATCAAGGTTTGTAAGTCTTGAGATAGAATTTGAAGATAACATTGGTGAAAATTGTATGCACTTCTTGTTGAGAAACAGCAGGACAATAAAATCCGCAGAAGTTATATTTATGTGTTGGGCAAACACATATTTGCTCCAAAGATCACATAGTTAATTTTTTTTACTAGAGAATGCAAAAGATAAAGAAGTAACATCAGTTCTGTTAGCCTATTAAGAAAATTGTTGTACTTAGACCACTGGATTATTTGATTACCTGTGAATGTCTCCATTTTTGGCATTTGGTAGCAATTGGCTGAGGCAAACCTGGCAAAATGTTTTCCAGCTGCTGGAAGATTAACTCCTGCACATCCTCAATGCTGTGTTCCAAGTATATAACTCCAAATGGGACAGTGGTGTGAATCACGAGGGAAGGCCCAATTTCTGATGACTCTGTGGCATAAGAGGATCATAAAGATGCATCTTAAAGCGGGTAGGAGGCAAGTATCTCTCAGGATTGCAATTCAAACTAGGGAATTGATCACAATAATCAAGCAATAAGTAGAGGAAAAACTTATTCTAATCTTTAAAGCATAAATTAGGCATTTCTGAAATTCAAAATCAAACTTCTCTGAAGAGGAAGACAGATTAAAGAGAAGTTTTAGTGAACAGATTGTCAGATATTGCTAAAGAACTGGAAGAAAGGGTAGAAGTTCATTTAATATGAACTGCCTTGGATATAATTATATTTAGGTTTGTCTTCTCTCATTCACAAAATTTCTAACTCTTCAGGGCAGGGTCTATTTTTTAATACAGAGTCTATAATCTTCATAAATTCTGAGAACAAAGTAGATATTCAATAAATACTTGTCTCATTCAATTAATGCTTAATGGGTTGAAATATATTTTGTTGAAATTACACAAATGTCAGAACAAAAACAAACCAAACTCCTCTCTAAAAACAGGCTTGTCCTCATAATATTCTTCTCTATGTTTTAATTACCATTTCTTTATGTTTTAATCAGCATTAAAAATAAAAGTCTGTCTCATTCAAAACATGAAGCAACTTTCCATTTTTGTTTGCCATTGATTTTTTTGCTGTCTGTTCGTAATCACAAATAATGAATATCTGTTTTGTATCATTCACTCCTTAGTAGAATATAGAGCAATCAAATAAAGTCTGAGTTGAAAGAAACATAAGTAACTGAGACATTAGAAAGCACCATCTTGGAAGAATATTAACAAGAATTTGTCTGCTATTATTTGTTTGAATCATGCAGAAGAGAAAGCTGAGAGGAAAATAATGATAGATGTAAAACATACGAATATAATATGAAAATTGGAACCTCGCCCTCCTGAGAGAAGAGAATATTAAAGTGTGTAAGGCACCGATAGGAGATGTCAAACCTGATTCTGGAAATTCTTTAACTTGGGATTGTAAAAGGTAATACAATGATCTATTTGAGTTACAGCAGTACAATTGACACAGGAAAGAAAGAGTTGACATAAGCCACTTACTCACTATGTGCCTGCTTAATCTCTTTACATTTCAGGTTTTTTTTTTTTTAATGAGAATAAGTTAGTAGCCACCACATAGGTCTATGATGTGCATTAAATAACATAGTACACATGAAATACTCAGCATAGTTTCTGACACAGAGTAGGTGCTTAATAAATGTAAGCTATGGGAATGGAAGCAATAAGCCAGATACATGGGTAAAGCTTCCTGAGTGTTGCCTAAATTATAGGTGTGAGTCATGTTTTATGAAAGTACTTCATTTTTCCATTGCACTCAGCACAAGGAACCCTGGATTATGAATTTTATGGCAAAACACAAGAGAAGAGAGTCCCAACATGCTGCAAACTTTTTAAAGTGCAGTGAATGCTTCCAAAGAGTTTCACGTATATGAGGTGAGGGACCTGAATTCAGAATTTGTGCAGTAAATGCAACGGTAAGCTGGACTGTACAGTATTTTCACCTCAGAGTAGCTGAAACAACTTGAAAGAGGAAACAGAGGGGCCATCTCTTTGAATGTTCAATGTGTAACCTGTCGGTGAAGACTTTACAGGTTCTGTACAGAGGGAAGGACCCAGGAGTGGGAAATCTCAATTCCTTTCACAGAATACTACCACAGTGAGAAATCTGTTGCATATTGCCTTAGGAAGTGTTATTTATGTTATCAGTTAATAAATTAAGGGAGGCTTGTTCACAGTGATGGGGTATCAATGCTACCCCTCTTCCATACTGTCAGGCCTCTGAGCCCAAGCTAAGCCATCATATCCCCAATGACCTGCACATATACATCCAGATGGACTGAAGTAACTAAAGATCCACAAAAGTGAAAATAGCCTTAACTGATGACATTCCACCATTGTGATTTATTTCTGCCCCAACCTAACTGATCAATGTACTTTATAATCTCCCCCACCCTTGAGAATGTACTTTGTGAGATCCAAACCCTGCCTGCAAAACATTGCTCCTAACTCCACTGCCTATTCCAAAACCTATAAGAACTAATGATAATCCACCATCCTTTGCTGACTCCTTTTCCGGACTCAGCCCGCCTGCAACCAGGTGAAATAAACAGCCTTGTTGCTCACACAAAGCCTGTTTGGGGGTCTCTTCACACGGACGCGTGAGACACATACAGTACCACATCTTCCCAGCAACAAAGAAAACTACTAGGTCGGCATTCTGAAGCAGGGAAGTTGAGGCTCTGAGTTTACTTATCCATGGCAGGCTTCAAAGGAAAATGAATGCTAGCTGCATGCTGAGAATTGGGAGGTTGCACTGACCCAGCTATTTGTTCTAGGGGGAACTCATAAAGTCACTAAGACCAGTGATGGTGTGATGCCAGGTTTCTTCCATTTACATTAACCATCCACACCACGGAGAGCAATAAAAAATGAAATTTAAGACCTAAAGTGAAATAGTTCTTGCATAACAATGAGAGAACAACCTGGCTACTTATTTTTATTGGAATCGTATATTTATTTTGAAAATTTAGATGAAAATTTGAGTAGCTATGACTGAAAACAGTAAGTTTTGGGGAAAAGCTCCCCCAACCCTAAATTAGAGCATATTTTCAGAAGCTAAAGTCTAAAAATACAAAGAGCCAAGCAGAATTTAAACGTGACCAAAGTTCGAAAACAGAGCAGTATAAAAAGCCACAAATATGTTAATAGGATTTAGAGCATAAATTCAGCATAATCATTATTCCTTGGTCACTGGGAAGTTAATGATGCTATTTTTCTTTTTCTTTTCTTTATTCAGTTTAACAAGAATATTACCTAGTTTTTGGCATTTTAAATGTAAAGCTCATAGTAAGTTGACAATTATTTCTCTACTTTGGGAAATCAATGGCTACAGAGTCAGAAGATAAGTATTTGAACCTCTGCAACCTTTAATAGCCCTGTAATTGTGGACAACTTAATCTCTCAGGCTTCACTTTTTTCCATCAATTAAAAGGGAGCAACACTACCGACCTTACAAGCCTGCTATGAGGATTAAATGAATTACCCACATAAAAGCCTTCCTTCAAACATAAAGTGCTACACAAACAGAAGGCATTCGTAAGTAATATTCTTGTTTTCACCTCTCCACTGTTGAAAGAGCGGCTTTAGAAAGGGATAACAGAATTGACTTCTCTCAAAGCATTAAGACTGATCATTATATCAACACCCCAGGGACAATGGAAGACTATTCCTGGGTATAGGCAGAGCAGGATTTGATTTTTTGTGTGTTTCGTAAGATATACATAACATAAAATTTACTGTTTTAACCTATTTTATGTATACAGTTTAGTAGCATTGAGTATGTTCACTTTGTTCTATAACAGTTACCATCAAGCTGCTGGTTTTCAAGATGCTATCTAGTGACATCAGATGCCAGATCTTTTCAGAAAGATCAACGTTACCTGTGAATGGACAAGTTCCAAATGAAAAACTGACAGAAGAGATCCAGGACCTGTCAGAGTGCCCAGGGGAAAAAGCTGAGATACAGGGAAAAACAAGCAGCAAGGGTCTGGCAGAGATTGACCCCTGAGGAACTCAGAACCCTTTGGTAAGGGGTAGTGGGAGTGCTTCTCTGCTCCCTTCACCCCTGGAACAATTCACAGACTGTCAAACTGTTGGGGAGCTCCTCTGCCCTCTAGATCAAGGGCAATGCTGTCAGTGGTGACTTGGGGAAATTTTCCAGAAGCAGAGAACCAAGTGGCCAGCTCATGTTAAGCATGCCTATACTCCCCTCAGACCTGAACTGACATGGCCGAACTGAGTCATGCTGGTTGTGCACCTGTGGTGGGACACTGCCCTGCCCAGGGAATCTCCACCCTTGAGTCACCACACCACGAGATTCCCCATAAACATACCCCACAACCCACTCTGTCTCTGGCAAACACAGGGGGCTGGTGGGTCCCTGGGGAGCTGTGGGAGCCCTGGAGATCTCACCCTTGGTGGGCTGCCTTGAAGGGAATGGGGAGCACAGCCCACTAAAGTCTCCCTTGGGACAAAGGAAATGAAGGAAGTGGCACCAATTGGTGAAGGGGGTAGAACTGATGGTTAGGAAGGGTTGTAGAGAGGGAGTCATCCACCCCTTGCCACCTTTAGCACTGTTGAGGATGCAGTAGTAGTTCTCCTGGCTGGGGGCTGGTATATGTGCACCTGGAGAAAGCACTTATCACACTTTTTGTAGTGACTCCATACTTGCTGAAAGTGAGTCTGTGCTGCTTGGGCTTGCACAAAGGGCAGGGCCCAACTCCCTGACCCTACACAAAACAGCAGCATCCTGGCAATGGAGGACAGACAAGCCACAGAGTTGTCTGCTCTGGACTGGAGGAAGAGGCTCTGCCCCAAGCCCATCTTGGTGGTAGCTGCCAAAATGGTATATCAGTAGCCCATAGCCACATTGCAGCTGGGAACCAAAGGAAAAAGTCTTTATAAACTGAAATTTGTGAACCTTGTGACATGGTGTGAAACGGGAAGCAGCTGGCATTCCTGGAGCTGGTGCACTTCCCCCACTGCTCCTTCCCCAAAGACCTCAGCATGATCCAACAATCTACCTGTGGGTGGGCCAGCTCTTACTCGTAAGTGCCACCTACTGGACTAGAGCTTAAACTCCACCAACAAATAAAACACCTGCTGCCAGAAGGGCTGAGTGCTAGTGCATGTGATGAGACTTCCACACCCTCAGCCAAACAGTAGATAGAGCATTGGCTCATACGTCGAATACATTGCTACAACAAGCAGCATCTGAGAAAGCCACCACACAAAAGCTATCCACAATGAAGGGCCCATACAGCACCTTGGTCCTCTGAAAGCACCTGGAAAGGAGGCCAAATGATCATACACAACATACAACATACCCACAAGATTAAAAAGAATTACAAAATGTAAAAGTCTTATCCAAATGACAGCAAATAAAAAATAAACAGTGATAGCTGCCTCATATGAGA